TGTTAGCGTCGCCCGACCCATTCACCCCTACTTGTGTGAAATACTTGTACTGTTGTCCTCAGCTTTTTCGATTCAACTCTTCAAGTGGTCCTGATCCACATATTCAGTTTAAATCCTGCGTTGTCACCACACTTTATTGTTGCGTCCGGTTTCACTTTCCACACCAAACTTCATTGTCATCGATCCCTTATAATTCCAAGGATCAATCTGCACACATTTTCCACCTACCTGTCACATTAAAACAGTTTGTACTGTCGCGCACTTTCCTCGCTTTCTACATCGTCTACCGTATCATTCTACGTGTCAATCCGTAGCTGCTGTCAATCTAACTCATCGATTCATCCGAGCTTACTCTTGTTCATGCTCTTACCTTTCACTATTCACCTGTTTGTGCTGCTGATCGGTGCTTCACAGGCGACTACCTCTGGCCATCATCTACCATCAAATATATTGCTCGAATATCATTCCATGAGTTCCCAGGTTGTCCCACGGTGTCATATCGGTCCCTTCCAGTGGAGTTACTGTCATACATATTCACGTTAGCCACACACTGACTGTGACTCTGAAGAAGGACGCGTATTCAGTCCTGAAAGTGTAACTCTGCCAACTGTACTGGCATCCGTGAATTCCCGCTGGAGAAAGCTCGCACTATCTGTCCCGACCTTATGGTCAACACTCAGTATTGATCTCAAGGTGCTCATCTGATCGCATCCCAATCACGTATTCACCTTCCATAAACAACCCTTTGATCAGTTATCGAATTTTATCATGCAGTCGAAACATTCCTCGCTGGACATTCTCATCGACGCTCGCGATCCAAAATCGCGTGAATTGATCGGGCAAGATGTTCGCCTTATTTACAACTCAAGGAAGTCTAAATGTCTCTACCTTCAGGTGCATGTCCCCGTCCTCCACTGAAACCAGCCAACTCTATGCAGACTGTTTGCCCCACCTCTTTGCCTTTTTGTTCCTGCAGATGGACCGATGGCGTTCGCTGGAGGTCACCAGCGATACTTTGAAGCCACTTTGTGCTGCACTTCGACTTCTCAGCTCGCACAATCCGACTCGAGGTGGTTCAGCAGCTTCGTGTCTTGAGTTCATCAAGCTCAAGCGATCCAATGACTTTTACCATGCCCATGCAGAACAATTCCTCCCTCCTCTGGAGCTTGATAGTGTCCCATTCGCCATCTTGACTGGCGCGTCTGATCAAGACACCCTTGCGCAAGTTCCTGCGCCATGTCACCCCCTCCCGAAACTGCGACACGTGGATATCTTTGGTATTCCGTTGAACTGGGCAGGTTTCATTTGTACCCTTGGTGTGGGTCACTGCATTCAGTCATTGGAGCTTTCGTACCACGACAGAACTCTCAGGCCAACGTTTGATCAGTTTTCAGCAATAATCAATGTGTGTCCTCTGCTGCGAAGACTTCTCATTAGGGAATCTGGGCCGGTCCTTTCGCAGCCATATCACTGTCGCGGTGTCGTGTCACTTCCGATGCTTGAGGAGCTTCACTTGGGGTATGTGGGGTATGTCGAGATGGATTCGTTGATCGCGCTACTCAGTCGCCTTGACACCCCAAACCTTGTCGCACTTTCCATCGAGGACGTAAATCCCATCATTCCACGAGCTATCAGCAAAACCAGCACAAACATTGAAAGTCTCCTCAGCTACTGTGCAACTGGCTTCAGCAAGCACCCGGCAGCCGTCAGCAGAACTGGCTTGCTGTTTCCAAAGCTTCAGTGATTGTCGCTTAATAGGGTTCATGCAAGTGTCACTGCATTCAGCATCTTCATGTCTGCTTTCTCTAAGCTGCATGATCTGTTGCTACTTCGCACACCAAATGCGCTGGCAGCTCTCCTGCTGGATGTGGACGCAACTATACCCCTCCATTCCATCATGTCCATCCTGGTCTCTCCTGTCACACAACCAGAGTTCCTGAAGCTGAAGCAACTTAAGAACGTAGACCTTGTGTTGATGGGAGACGTTGAAGAGTTGAGTCCTTCCATATCTTACCCGACAATATCAGAGAGTTACTACTATGATTGGGCTACCTGGTGATCTGGAATGGGTGGGCAATGACTTGTTGAAACATGTAGTACATCCCGCAGTGTATATATTACAAGTTTGCATCAACTATACTATAGATTTTTTTTTTTTTGTACATCGATATGTAGTATGCTGTCGTTCTATCTTGTCCTGCGAAAATATAATTTGAGTCTGCGTGTGTGGTACGTTGCTGATTCAAATGAGCTGCATTGAAACAAATTCGTAATGTAGACCAACTCATCTGTGCTCGCTGCGAAGCTCGCTCAGATTACCAACTACAAAAGCAGGCATTATTACATAAGCTTGAGTCATGTAGCCAATCCTTACTAGTGTACTACTAGTATACGCTTAGTTTACCTTCATCTTTACCTTCACTTTCCTTGCACACAGACTCGACGGTTTGTACTGCTGAGCTCATCATCATAGGCGTCCTTCCGCCTTCTTCCTCGTCATGTTCGCTTCCTTCCCTACAGCATGACTGTTTGTACGGTTGTGTCCCCGCCTTTCTCTCCTGATTTGGAGACATGTTAGATGAAGACGGGTTGGAATTCGCTTCCCCGTCTATTCTGTTGACTCAGAAAACAGTAATGCTTGGTTCGTGCCACTGCTGACACCACTAGTCATACTGGGCAGCACCCAATTCTGACTGAGAGAGTCTGGGTGGTGTGGCCCAGGGAAGGAGTTGTAAACCGCATAGGTATCGCCCAGCGCACCCAATAACCCACTGCTGCCTCCCATACATGTACCCACAATACCTGCGTCGTGCTGTGTGGATGAGGTGGAAGGCCATCGAGGCATTGAGTGAGAGAGTAGCGAAGGACTCGGAACGTTGATGAGAAAAGTGCGGACATACTTGAGTCATACCACGTGGTTGTAATCGAGGAAGACGATAATGGAGATAAAAGGTTATCAGGGACTACAAGCTCAACAGTACAAACCATTCGAGCTCCGGGCGATGAGCATTTCTTCATGTGTCGATGGTCATCTTGACAAAGTTGCATGTGAATGGAGGAAAGACACGCCGATACAAATCATTGTGCCATAGCCAAGGGAGATAGACATGATGAAAGCAAACAGATATCATTTGCTTAGATGAACGGTCAACTTCAGCAGGTGGAAGACAAAACTAGCAAAATAATGGCAACCTCGCCTGGGAGTTGCACTATCTTGAAAGATGGGAAGAAGGTTGGCATCTAAAAGTGTATGATTAACTGCATATGGTGGCCAACAGGAGCGACTTACAGTTGCCGGACGGGTACAGGGAAGTAACAGCCCTGGTATATATGGTCTGATCAGAGTAAGGATGAATGGACTTTCCAGGAACTTTGACGTACATAATAATTTCACACGTGCACTTGGTCAGACAATTTCATCCCCTGGCGCGATGGTATTTGGCTGCAGCATGACAATTTGTATTGTCGTGTCTTTCCTCCATTCACCTCCAACTTTGTTAGGATAATCATTGAAACACGAAGCTTTTGTCGCCCGGAGCTCGACGGTTCGTACCATTGAGCTCGCATGATCATTGTTCTCCTGATTTCATCGCCAACTTTCAGAGTGACCAGGTCCTTCGCTACTCGCTAGTTCAACGTCCCCAATGGATGGCCTTTCCCCTCATTCACACGGCATGACTGTATGTACGGTCATGTGTGTCTCTGTTCTGGAACTATTGTCATGTCGTTTTTGTCGCCCACTTGCCTTCCCGACTTCAAGTTCCCTTCTCCCTGAAGACAGAATGCTGTACTATATGAATCTACTCTTGCTTAAACTCAAAATGTCATTCCAGCCGTCTATCCCTCTGCAATACGTACATTCATATCACGGTACATAATGTCGTCAGCGTCACTCAACTCATCCACCTCCCTAATTATGTGAAACCCTTGTACTGTTATCATCACCAGCCCTATTTTTTTTTTTGGCTTCTTCAATTCACCTTCATCCACATATTCAATTAAAACCCCGTATCTCACCTCAGTTCACCCTCTATTGCACAGTCCCGGCATTGATCACCTACCTTCAGTACTCGATAGCATTTCATGAGAAGCAGTCCCATTTGGCCTCATGCTATGTAGCGACGACCAAAGTCACTTTGACGATGCATTGGTGGAGGAAGAAGTCGATTTTATCTGTGGAACATATTACGTGGACAAAAGTAAGTTTGTTCTAGTCTACGCGACATCAGCAGCGCTTATGTTTGATTATCCAGGCGATGGGAGTGTAGATAAAGTCTCCTGGTGGACTCGGCTGCAGGCCTGGGTTCCATTCAGCTTGAACGTCGGTTTTTAGTCTGCTGAGTCGATGCGAAAAGTGGTTTCAAATGCGCCTCAAACATGGTGTTTCACGCTGCCGCGTTTCAGCTCCAAACGATGCTAATCGGCCAGAAGCCATCGCTCAAAATTCAATAATGGGCACCCCGAAGATGATGAAAAACATGGATGTGGCATGTTACGAATTCCTGTTAAACAAGATGCCTAGTAAGAATGCTTCCTCAACCAACTTCCTTCATGCTTCTGCTGACGTCTTGCTTAGTTTGGACGGACTCGGATGTGTAGTTGTACCTATTCTCTCATTTTTTTGCTATGTACATCGTGCTTTACAACTGTATTATCCATCTTCTTAGACTGATGCTATCTCCTTGATCATTGCCCTTGTTGAATAACTCAATCGCACTCGGGACAATGGTTTGCATGGTTACCTCCTGACTACTGACTCCTGTCAGACAATTGTTTAGACTGTCATTCAGAATCGCTCCGCTCGCTTCCATTCACTGCTCCTTGACAACCTCCAATACTTGAGTTGTTTCATTCACTCTCAGACCATTTGACAAATCTCACTCATTGCCCACTACTGAATGCTTCTAGCATTCCAGGTACTCTCTCTGAGATGTCTTCTCAAACTCAAACGCGCATCTGCATCTCCAGGCGTCTCACGCCATCATTGTCACCAATTCTGGTGCAGGTATGGTGGAGATTGGGATTGGCCCAGGCGCAGATATGGTGGGTACGGGTACCACATTAGTACAAGTATTCACATCAACATCCCCTGGTGAGTGCCACTTACAAAGCTACATTGAGTGTTAAACTCATGTTTTGCATACAGCTCCGCTGCAGTCCTTGGCTAGTAGTCTTCGACCACATCAGAGAAGTTCGTCTCAGGCCTGGAAACATAATATGATTTGAGCAGTTGGAGCTGGAGGTCACTTTTGACCGCCCAGAGCATCCCTACCATTTGGATATTGCAATCATTTCTGATATAATGTACCCAGGTCGCCGCTGAGTCTTCCTCCATTTGTACTCCTCCAATATTTAGCTTGATACTTTTCCCCACTTGCACTTGTCTTACCAGGTCAGTCTGTACTCACTTGTTGTGAAAATTTGCCATGTCACGCCAGGCAATGAATTCAGGCTGTGAGCAGGCTACGATTGAGTGACAGGCGGGCAATGGGCGGGCAATGGGTGGGCAATGATCAGGCAATTTATTTTGTCTGCTGACAAAACTTGAAGTTTTGTCATAACACTCTGTCGCCAGCACAAACTTAAAATTTTGAGAGATGTCTAATTGTCAGGCAAAACTTCATATATTGGCAAGCATATTGTCCCATCTAAACTTCAAGTTTTGTCCAAAATTTTACGTGAAGATTAAACTTTAAATTGAAGCAGGCATATAAAATTTGATCATATTTCTTATATTGTAAGGATTGTATATCCTCTAGGCCCCGACCACACTTCAAAAAGAAGACGCCCGAACGGATCATACGTTCGGAGTCGTCTGTGTGACTCACTGATGCCAAGAGTCTTACTCTTTGTATCCGAGTCACGCAGATACATCCCTTTTCACTTTCATTATGTACCTTATCTTGCGCTCACGTCTCCGTCCCTTCCTCTCGTATTTTCACTTCGTTATCGACTATTTTCACCTTGCTATCGAGCATTTTCACACTGCATCTGGCTTAATAAAAGTATTTCAAACGTACTTATACGACCAATGTATGCTAATGTAGAGCAGCGAATTCTATCCTAGATTCCCGCTCCAAGTACTTCAGAAGCCCTACCTAAGTGTGTCCGTCTTAAAAGAGTTAACATCATTCGTGTCTCTTGTCGTCTCATCTAACCCCCTTAGCTCACATTCCCCTTCAAACTCACTAGCCGCCTTACAATATTTGTTGACATATTGTCTGTGTGTTAAGAACATGCTCAAGGGTCAGGATCCGAAGGGCTTGGCTTCAGCTCGTGCGCTGCGCCCCTTACCCGAGTACGTGCCCCTAACTTCCGAGGGCTGTTGGACGATGTCCGAAGGTTGTTGGACGAGTCCGATGCACAGGAATTCCGGCGGAAGTTCGGGAACGAGGGATAAGACTAATCCGGACGATGTCCGAACTAGAAAGGAAACAGCGAAGGACTACCAGAGGTAGAGGCAGAGGTGAGAAGTCTATAGGAATCGATCCTAAGACTAGCGGAGGACGACGAGAGGAGAAACTCAAGTTGGATGGAGAAGGGAATGAGCAGAGTCTAAGATAATATTTGAACTAAGGAAGTACAAAGATTCTACAGGGTTTATATACTACTGAGGACTTGATGGAGAATCAGTCTGCGCAGTCCGAAGCTATGTGAGGCTGTGGACGGAGCGTATAGAAAAGTCAAACGCTAGTCTATCGGAAAATAGTAAATGAAGACGGAGATGAAGACATAGGAAAATAAAGGCGGAAATGAAATGAGGTACGGAAAATGAGTATAGTCTAACTGGAGAAGGAACGTACAAAGGGATAAGGCATGGAAGTTAGACGCGGGTTGGATCCGGACGATGGATAGAAGTCGGCCGGATCCGGAAGTCCGGAAATGATGTGTGTGATTGGTCCGGGTCCGGAACACAGGATATGACAGTATCCCCCCCTTAGGGCCAAGCCCACGAGGCTTCTGATCTGGAAGTCTGGACCGGACTTCTATGAATGCAGGATGATGGGCGGAGCTCGTAAAAATAGAACTGGACATATAAGTAGGCCAGGGCGCCCATGA